TTATCTTTCAAAAAGAGGGCAGTGTATTTTGAGTCCTTAAAAAGTCTCTAAATTACTGAGTCCTCTCAATTGCTCTGAATATTTAATAAAGTATTATTTAGGAAAAACTAACATTAGCCTTAGATTTGTTTTCATCACAAGCAAAAAAAGCATTATTTAACCCCCCAATATAGATGATAATACAGTCATTATCTAATCATGCTTATACCATCAGTCAGAACATATCAATTTTACTTTAGATTGAGACTGGTTCAGTGTCTTAAATTACCTTCTGCTGGCCTCACAGGATGAATTACGAAGTATTTACTTTAATTCTATATTTTGGAACAGACTGTAGAGAATTGTCATTTTTTTCCTTAAATGTTGGTAGATTTCACCAGTGAAACCAACTAGGCCAGGTTCTTTCAGTTTTCAAAGCCCATTCATTATTGATTTAACTTCTTTAATAGACACAGAACTCTTTCTATTATTTCTCTTTGTGTGAGTTTTGGTGCCATCAAGGAATTACCATTTCATCTAAGTTATCAAGTTTGTGGGCATAATACTTCCTGTCCTTTGGATCAGTAGTAATGGCCCCTCTTTTATTTCTGATATTAGTAATTTGTGTTTTTCCTTTTTTATTTCCTTGGTTAGCTTGGCCAGATGTATATCAATTTTATTGATCTTCAAAGAACAAGATTTTGGTTTCACTGATTTTCTCTACTGTTTTCCTGTTTACAATTTCATTGATTTGTGCTCTAATTTTTATTTATTTTTTTCCTCTGCTTATTTTGGAGCTAATTTGCTCTTGTTTTTCTAGTTTCTTAAAGCAGAAGCTTATATTGATTTTACATCTTTCCTCTTTTCTAATGCAGTTGTCCCCCCTTATTGACAGGAGACATGTTCCAAGACCCCCAGTGGATGCCTGAAACAGTGGATAGTACTGAACCCTATGTATATATGTATGTACATACACACACTGTTTTTTCCCCCTTTATATATACATAACTTTTTCACCTGCAAGAAGGACTTTATGGCTTCTCTTTGGCATATCTGAATTGCTAGGATTACTACTCTTGCACTTTGGGCCACTTTTAAGTAAAATAAGGGTTATTTGAATACAAGTACTGTGATACCACAACAGTTGATCTGATAACCAACCATGACTAACAGGCAGGTAGAGTATACCGTGTGGAGATACTAGACAAAAGGGATGATTCACATCCTGGGCAGGATGACATGAGATTTCATTATGATACTCAGAATAACATGCAATTTAAAACCTATCAAATGCTTATTTCTGGAATGTTCCATTTAATATTTTTAGACCAGAGTTGACCACAGATAATTGAAACTGCAGATGAGGGGGAATTACTATATATGCATTCAATGCAATACATTTTCATCTAAGCACCACTTTTACCATATCTCATAAATTTTGATAAGATATATTTCCATTTTCATTTAGTGCAAAGTATTTTTAAATTTCTCTTGAGACTTCTTGTTTGATCCATGTGTTGATTAGAAGTATGTTGTTTAATTCATAAATATTGAGGGATTTTCCAGCTCTCTTTCTGTTATTGATTTCTAGTGTAACTCAATTGTGGTCTAAAAGAATATTTCTTATGATGACCTATCTTTTAAAATTTGTTAAGGTGTGTTTTATGCCCCAGGATATGGTTTATTTGGTGAATGTTTTGAAAAAATATAAATAATTTTTAAAAGACAGTAACATAAGGGAAGGGGAATCTCTTTGGAAAAATTGAGTATTATTCTGTATTCAGGACCACTTTATATTTAGACATGTACAGGGCAGATTTTTTATTGAGATATAATGCTTTAATAGCACCGAAAGAGAAATTTATAAAATTCTTTATACTACATGGTCTCTACTATTAAAAAGACTGGAAAAAAATGTACCTAAATGTAACCAGGACTAAGTAACAACTTTTTTACATCTATAATCTCTGCTAAGGGATTAGCAGAGATTTCATATTTGCAAATATTTCATATTTGATCTTATTTCATTCATAGTCAGAAAAATATATGAGTGATTTTAATAGAATATGATAAGTACTATAAGAGAGATATAAAAAGGTTTAATATTAATATCAATTCTTTTGAGACGTTCCAGTTAAGCTCTGAAAGAAAAGATGCTTCAAATATAGCCTAATATAGCAACGGTTTATCAGAAAAAGGATATATCACATTTTTAACTGCCAGAAAGTGAGACAAGCACTAGGGGAATTTAAATAGTCCCATATGACTAGAATACAAGCTGTAAGAACGGTTGGCAGGGCAGAAGGATTAAGACTATAGACACGTGTTAGGGCCAGAAGTATGTGAAGGAATCCAGAGTTTTTAGACTGAAGAAAATCTAAACCTAGCCATCCTCGGCTAAGTCATTTCAGTGCTTTATAATAAGAAAATCCTGATCTATAACAATTATATTTGGATGGTTTCCTTTATTTTAAGCCAAACTAATTTCTCTCCTTTAAAACAAAACCAGACAGGAATTTCTTGACTATTGCAAGATAGAGGTTAGCAAATCCACTCCTTAAGAAACTATAAAACTGAACAAAAACCTCAAAAACAACCATTTGTAGGTTCAAACAAAGGCAATTAATTTGAGAAGTGTATTTTATGAAAACCAGCTGAACCAAAGTTAACGACAGTGCGGATCTGTGGTGTCCTTGCCCAGGAGCAGCTCTCATCACCACCACCACCCCTTGCTCAGTTTTTACAGAGGTACTTCAAGGACAGGGCTGGCTGTGAAAAACAGCAGCTTCAGTGCTGGAAGAGGCTAACCTGATTTGGAACAAAGTGTGAAAATCCCAAATAGAGCATTGTCAGTAAAAGTAGCAAACTTATTAGAAAACAAACAGAAAGTCAACAGCAGCTACTCTAGACTTAGGTTACAGTTTTGGTAGGGCTGAGCTGTAGACTGGAGGACTAGTCAGAGATTTAACAGAAAGATCCTAGAAATGAGAAAGGCATAGAGGGCTAGATAAGTTCCCACACAGCCTTGGCTGACTGGGATTCACTCCCATATCAACACATATCCACTGGCAGAGGGCAGAAGCCCTACTGGCTCCAGAGGCATTTGAGTACACCCTCTGAACTATCAGTGACCCAGGTGCAAACCCTAGGAAATCAGCTTAAAAGGGAGATAGGTCCCATAGATTAAATCCACGCAAACTACTAAAAAACCATCACTATCAACCTCCTTGGGGAAAAAATCCAAACTAGATTTTCTACAACATATTATCAAAAATACATTAAACAGTTTCCAACAAAAAATTATGAGACATGCAAAGAAAAACAGAAAATTGTGGTCGATACTCAAGAAAAAGAGCACTAAATACAAACCGATTCTGAGTGAGCCCAAATACCAGATTTACCGAAGACTTCAAAAATCACATATTATAAAAATATTCAAAGAATTAAAAGAAACTGACTTAAAGAATGAAAGGAAAATATGATAATGACAACAAATAAAGTAATCTCAGCAATGAAAAGTGAGATTATAAAAAAGAACCATATAGAAATTCTAGTGTTGACATTTTCCATATGTATCTATTTTTGATAGCAGTATAACTACGATTTCTTACACTGGTCAACATTTTAAAAATATTTTAAAATATTCATTATTGTAAAGTTATAAACATCCTGAGTTATAGGATGTTTAGTAAGTCATTATGCTTTGTAAGCTTTATAGTAACCTTTAAATAAAGGTTAAGATGTGTTCTCTTTTCCTACTGAACTAGTCAATGGTATATTAATTTTTCAATGAAATTGCTTATTACTAGATAATATTTTCAACATGGTGTAAAACCAAAATAACCAAAGGTAATGCTGTGTTGATATCTACAGGTTTAGAACTGTTTTAAGAGGTTAATTTTATTTTCATGGTTAGTTTTCAGTATCTACCAAGAATGTTTCTAGAATTATTCAAATTTAGCATTTTCAAGAGAGTAATAAAATATAATGACACCACAAATCTATTCTGGTACTAGGGTGTATAAATCATTTTTAATACTCCTAATAATTAATTGGATTATAATACTCATGTACTTATATGTATATATACACAATAGAATACTATTTTAACCATTAAGAAGGAAATCCTGCATTTATGACAACATGGATGAAACTTGAGGGCATTATGCTAAGTAAAATAAGTCAGACAGAGAAAGACAAATACTGTATGATCTCACTTTTATGTGGAACCTCAAAAAACATCAAACTCAAAGAAATAGATTATATTTGTGGTTACCAGAGGCAGTGGGTAGGGTGTGCGGGAGCGGTGGTGAAAGGTACAAACTTCTGGTTATAAGATAGTAAGTTCTGGTGATGTAATGTATATTAGATATTTGAAAGTTGCTAAGACAGTATACCTTAAAAGTTCTCATCATAGTGAAAATATTTGTAATTATGTGAAGTGATGGATGTTAACTAAACTTATAGTAATCATTTCACAATATATACATATATCAAATCATTATATCATACAATTTAATTTATATGTTATATGTCAATTATATCTCAATAAAACTAGAAAAATACTCATGTACTTATTAAATTTGTGTCTATATGCATACATTGACTACTAGCAGGCAGATTATCATATCAAGAATAAAATAATGGTAATTGGTTCTTTAAGTAATCTTTCATTATTCCTTATTTGTGATAGCCACTTTAAACAGTTTATTTGGATTTTCCTGTTTTGATTGATTGTATTACCAATAAGAATGATTATTATAATATTTAATAAACTATTCTTTCTCATTTTTAGTAAGAACAATCTACATTATAGAACAACAAGTTTTACAGATGCCTTGTAAAATTTTATGCTAGTTTTCTACCTAATACTACTATAAATCTGCACTTTTCAGCCTACCATATTACCAGAGGAACAAGCATATTGCCCACTATTTGGTATAAACCATCACATAATTTTAGATTATTAACAAAGCTATCCAGGATAATGTTAATAATTGAAGTACAAAAGGTATACTTACTCAGTTATAATTTCAGGGTTTGTAAAGCTGAGGTTGGTTAAATGACCTTCAAATTTAGAAGACTCGTGTATACTTAAGGCTGGCGTGGTCTTAGTGGCAAGTACAGCTCTTTTTTCATCTTTCTCAAGTGCTTTTCTCTTCCCACCATTTTGGAAATATTCTCTGCATACACTATAAGGCAAAATAAAACTATATTTTAAAACATGAGGTATGAATATAAAATTAAGTAGAAAAATATTAGCCTTTATTACTCAAAATGGGAAACATAAATTACAGATTCCTATTTTGAAAATGTCACATAGAGGTAGGTTTGGGAACCCTGTAGTATGTTTGCATTTTTAAAATTACCATACAACAAAGCACAATCATATGTTTAATTAAAAAAAAAAAAGTATGTTCTACAGGCACAGATGTGCCTGTATATTTTACTGAACTTCATTCTTAACTGAAACTAAGTTGTTCCAGAAGAACTTAGATAACTGCTATTCAGTGACAGCATCCAAAAAGAAAAGTAGACACAGTTAATTCCAAGTCAGCTTTGCTAGTATTAGACAGATATCCCAACAGTTGTTTTTCAGATCCCTTCTGGTTTATGAAAAGTCAGGTTGTCAACACATTGAAAATCATTTACCTTCTTATTTGCTCTGAGAGAAGGGTATAAAAATCTAGTTTAAGTAAAAATAGTATCATTTCGGAGAAGGAAAAAAAGGGTGTAGATGATAGAGGTTCTGTTCATCCCTCTGATGACCAAATCAAAGTTGTGACAGAAACAAGAAGAAAACCATAAGGAAAATCGCCTGGGATCTAGATGAACAAGCTATACAACTAGGGAGAAATCTAAGAAATCACTCTGCAATGGCAAAAGGTAGAAAGGCATGAAGACTCAAGACTGAGGCTGAGTCGGTGGGAGGCTATGGCAGCCAGTAGCTGCAGATGCCTCTTAAAGGAGCCCTGTCCGCGAGTGAACTTCTGCAGTAATATACCTGCTCGCTCTGAGCACCAGTGCCGTTAGGGCTGCACAGGAGGCACCAGGGACTTACAGGTGGGTGCTGAATTGTCGGAGTGCGGGCTGAAGCAAGCCTCACTCTGTACAGAAGTGCCGGAAGTATCCCTTGTTCCTCTGTTGAACCCTCCCACTACCAGTGTGCCGACATAGAGGAGACATCTTCAAACTGGATAACAGAGGTCACTCCATCCAATGGATTCCCTTAAACTCCACCTCCCCCAACTCGTAGCCCCATTCAAGCCACATCCAGGTGTGTCTTCGCTTAGTCAGGTGTCCCTTGCTGAAGAGCACCTAGACTCATACTGGTGACATCTGGCCTAGGTTTCTGGTAGAGCCTTTTGAGGCAACTATAAGCACAGCATCAGCGGATTGCTTGCTAAATTTTAAAGGTGGCCCCGCAGGGGTACAGGCTGGGGCTAAACTTGGCCTGCAGCTGAACCCCTCTCAGCACTGTGCCACTGGACATATCACATAAAAGCTGCACTAATAAGACTGAAAGACTTAAGAGCTTAGCTTAGTACATAGAAATGGACACAGAAAGACAGCCAAAATGGGAAGACAAAGAAGCAGAAACCATATGAGAGAACAAAACAGAGATCCAGATAATGGAGTCAAGCAATCTAACAGATGCAAAGTTCAAAACATTGGTTATAAAGATGCTCAATGAACTTATGGGGAAGTGTAGATGAATTCAGTGAGAACTTTGACAAAGAGATAAAAAACATAAAAATGGAAATTGAAATTATAAAAGGGAACCAGTCATAAATGAAGAACATATTACCTGAGATGAAAAAATCAGCTGCCAGTCTTATGGGTGCTCCCTTGTAGGTAACTGTCTGTTTACCTACAGACAGTTAGGTAGAACTGGAATAAGTAAAGTGAATAAAGAGGAGGATCAAATGATCTATACAGAGCATGAGAAAGCCAAGGACACTCAATCAGAATGGCAAGAAAAAGAAGTCAAGATTATAATAATAATTTAAGGAGCCTATGGAACACTATTAAATGTAAAAATATCTGTGACATAGGGGTATTAGAAAGAAAAACAAGATGTTGAAGAATTATTTGAAGAAATAATGATGGAAAACTTCCCTACCCTGGGGAAGGAAATAGACATAAAACCCCAGGAAGCTAGAGAGTCCCAAAACCCAGGAACCCAAAGAGGCCCAAACAAAGACACATCATAATTAAAATGCCAAAGGTCAAATACAAAGACAGAATCTTAAAAGCAGCAAGAGAAAAACAGACAGTTACCTACAAGGGAGCACCCATAAAATTGGTAGCTGATTTCTCAAAAGAAACCTTGCAGGACAAAGGGCTTGGCACAAATTATTCAACATGATGAAAGCCCAGGATCTACAGCCAAGAATACTTTATCCAGCAAAGCTATCATTTGGAGTTGAAAGACAGATAAAGGGCTTCCCAGACAAAAATAAGCTAAAGAAATTTATCAGCACCAAGCCAGAATTACAGGAAATGTTGGAGGGACTTTATTAAGAAGAAAAATCATGTATCAAAAACAGGAATAAAGAATGGTAATAACTACTGAATGGATAAGAAAACAAGACCCCTACATATGTTGCCTATAAGAGACTCACTTCAGATCAAAAGACACACACAGACTAAAAAGAAGGGGATGGAAAAAGATATTTCCTTGATGGACCTAGAAGGTATTGTGCTGAATGAATAGGTAGGGTAGAGAAAGAAAAATATCTCATGATTTCACATACATGTGGAATCTAAAGAACAAAGTCAACAACAACAACAAAAGTGAAAATAAACTCAGATACAGACTATTTAAAGGGAGTTGGTGCGGGGACAAAAAAAGGCAAAGAGATTAAGAGGAACAAATGGACAGTTGCAGAATAGACGTGGAGATGTAGAGTGTAGCATGGGGAAGATGGTTAATAATGTAATAAATATGTAAAGGGGAAGAAGGGTACTATATTTAGTGGGGTGATCACTTTGCAAGTTATGTGGATCTCCGATCGCTATGCTGTACAACTGAAACTGGTATATTATTGTATGCCAACTATAATAAAAAAAAAAAACTCATTGAATTGTACAATGTAAATACAAGCAACTAATTGTCTATTATATTTCAATAAAGATAAGAAAAAATAGTATTTCGTAAAGGTATATCTTCAAAGAGAACAAGGTTGGAACACAGTAGTGGTTTTCATAACACTTCAAAAGTATTCCTGTCTATCAAGAGACCATTCCTACTTGTCCCAATTCTTATATGTTATTAAAATGCAGAATTTTCAAGATATATCATTTTAAGCTTATATAGTTTAGCCCATATCAAGTTGCTATCCAGAATCAGAAACTGATGACTGGCGTAACCTTAAATAATTTTCTTAGTATCTAATATAATTTTAGGATGAATACAGTATGGACTCATGCCTGGGTATATTATAAGAAAACAAACATGAACCATAGAATCAATTCCAACATTTATTAGCTATTAAATCCAAAAAACTTAATAGAAAGAAAAAAAAAAAAACAGAAAGAGAGAGAGAGACAAGCTCTGGCTCTGGCCCTTGAGCTTACAATGTGGCAAGAGATACACACCTGAAAACATTTAACTGATATACTACTTATCTAAGCTACTTAAAGGAGAATGAAACCTAAATTTTTCTTTTTAGATTTTTAAAATAAATCACATTATTATTACATATAGCTCATACTTTTAACATAGCTAGATTTTTTTGTTTCACAGACACTCCTTGGTGAAGTTCTAAAAACACATGCCGAGAAAAGTAAGAATTGAGGAATTAATTTAATACTCATTTCTACAAGTAGAAGGGAACAATGTCCATTCCTCCTCACACTTGCAGGATACTATTAGTTCAACTTTAATTTTTCTAAATATCTATTATTTAATATTTCTTTAACTTATTCTACGGAGATTCAGTTTTAACTCTATATACAAGAATTTAAACTCATTCATCACTGATCAAACATTTATTAAGTACCTATCATGTGCTGGGTACATAACTGATGAGAAAACAAATTAAAGGAATAGCTGCTTTCAAGGAGCTCAGACCAATAAAAGGAGATAAACAATTTATATAATAATAAAGAAAATCTAATTGATAAAGATAAAATACAATTGATAAATACCTAACCCAGTCTAAAATCAGTCATATAAGCTGATTTTAGAAAGATGAATGGGATTAAATTAAGCAAGGAAGAATGTTAGTTAAGGAGAGAAGTGTTTTCCTGGTGGAGAGAATAGCATGAACAAAGGCATGGAAGAGAAACTCAGCATGGATCCAGCAGAGATGGACATCAGTTAAAGCTATGTGAAATTTAAAGTGCCAGGCAGAAAATGGATGAGTAGATAGATGGACTCACAAGTGAGAAAGCCCTGAGGCCAGCATACATATGTAGAGAACTGGTAGTCAGGTGACACTGGAGAGTAAGCAAGCTTCAGATCATGGAAGACCTACAGGCCAATTTAGAAATGTGGCCTTTAGAAATCTAATCTAAAGACAGAAAGTGGTTTAGTGGTTTCCTGAAGTGAGTGGGTTAGACTACAAAGGTGTACAATGAAGCTTATTAGAATTATGGAAATGTTCTATATCTTGATTGTGGTGGTGGTTACATAAGTACAAACATTTGTTAATACCCACTGAACTGTACACTAGAATGGGTGCATTTTATCGTATATAAATTGAACCTCAGTAAGGTTAATAAAAAAAAATGTAGCCTTTATCACCTAGGAATTAACACTAAAAATAATGCCTCTACCATATGACATTTCACTAAGGCATGAAATACCAAAGAGCTTGCTTACCTTTCTATTAGGTAGAACCATATATAATTGTGATATTCAATAGTTCTTGAGCCACAAAAATTAGTTTTATGTGGTTCAATCTCATAGTTATCTAGAAACTTGACTGCAAAACACATAAACAGCTAGAATTCCAGGTTCTCATAGCCCATCTAAATTCCAATCTCCCTACACACCTTCCAAAAAATATAAAGATCATTAGGAAGAGCAAATAAAAATCACATATAGTTCATATCTATGGCATAACTAGGAAAGAGAACAGCTCTTCATTTTACTTGTAATTGAGGAAATAAAAATCTAAGGAAAACTGAATTGGCTTTGGAGCTACCCAAAGTAGAGTCAGATGAGGACTCTAAAAGAAAGAAA